GGTGCAGGCCAGGCTGGAGCAGGGCCGGCCTGACCAGCACCCAGTTAACTCTTCACAGCTGGAAACAACAGAGAGCTTTCCTGGCCTTGCCTGTCTTTAAAATGTGGATTTCACAGAGGCTGACCCAGCTTCCAATTGGTATAATAAGGTGTCAGTTCTCAGAGCCAGCCAGCTATTGGTTTTGCTAAGCACAAAGGAAGCTCTTAGCAGCCCCCTCCTAGAATAAACATTTGTATGGGTGGCTTCTTCCCTCCTCACCAAATATCAACTAATATAAAACCACCACAGACATTCAGGGTGTAATAGGAAGCAATTTTGAAGCAACTGTATTAAAGCAAAATCAGTTATTAAGCACAGATTGATGTCACTCCCCAGGACCACTGGAGAGGGACAGTGACTCCGCCACCTCCCCCCTGGCCAGCCTGTTCCAATTTCCAATCAACCTTTTTGGGAGGAACTCCTTCCTATTGTCCAGCCTAAACCTGCCCTGGTGCAGCTTAAGGCTGTGTCTCCTTGTCCTGCCCTCCAGCAGATCCCCACTCGCAGCCAGCTTGGTGTCATCTGCAATTTGTGAGTGCTGGACTCGACCCCCTCAGCCAGACCCTCAGTGAAGATATTAACCAGGACTGGGCCCAGCACAGATCCCTGGGGACACCACCAGGGACTGGACACCAGCTGGATGCAGCACCATCCCCACCACTCTCTGGGCCCGGCCTCCAGCCACTTCTGCAGCCAGCAAAGAGTGCTCCTGTCCAAGCCGTGGGCTGCAGCTTTTCCAGGGAATGCTGTGGCTCTCCGTGTCCAAGGCCTTGCTGAAGTCCAGCTCGACACATCCAGAGCCTTTCCCGCACCCACCAGGCGGGTCAGCTGGTTATAAAAGGAGATCAGGTTGGTCAGGCAGGACCTGCCCCTCCTAAAGCCACGCTGGCTGGGTCTGACCCCTGGGCCATCCTGGAGGTGCCGTGGGATGGCACTCAAGGGGATCTGTTCCAAAACCTCACCAGGCACCGAGCTCAGGCTGACAGGCCTGCAGTTCCCCAGAGCCTCCTGCCAGCCCTTCTTGGGGATGGGCTCACACTGGCACCTCCAGTCCTCTGGGACCTCCCCAGTGAGCCAGGACTGATGAGGAGAAATGATGGAGAGCAGCTTGGGGAGCTCATCCACCAGCTCCCTCATCCCCCTAGCATGGATCCCATCCGATCCCATCCACCTGTGAGTATCTGAGTGGCTCAGCAGGTCTCTGACTGCTTCCTCCTGGATTACAGGGGGCTCTTCTGCTCCCTGTCCCCATCTGCCAGCTCAGGAGAACACTTGTCCTGAGGAAAACCTGTCTTATTGTTGAAAACTGAGACAAAGAAGGTGTTGAGTACCTCAGTCTTTTCCTCATCTTTGGTAACCATATCCCCCCCAATAAGAAATGGAGGTTGTTCGTAGCCTTCCTTTTGCCATTAATGTATTTATAAAAACATTTTTATTATCCTTCACAGAAGCAGCCATGTTAAGCTCTAATTGAACTTTCACCTCTCTACTTTTCTTTCTGCATGACCTAATGACATCCTTAAACATTTCCTGAGTTGCCTGCCCCTCTGTCCAAAGGTGATTCACCCTCATCTTTTCCTTGAGTTCCTGCAAAAGCTCCCTGCCCAGCCAGGTCGGTCATTTTCCCCACCAGCTCATTTTTTGTCACAGAGGGACAGGCTGTTCCTGCTCCTTCAAGATTTTTTTCTGGAAGTGTGTCCATCCTTCCTGGAATCCTTTGTTTTAAAAGGCTCTTTCCCTTAAAAAAATCAGTACCTGATTTTGGTACTCCCCAAATCTGCATCCTTAATTGGCTGAAGTCTGCTCTTCCTAAGTCCAGTGTAGGAGTTTTGTTGATGCCCCTCCTTCTTTCACAGAATATTTCAAAACTCGATGATTTCATGGCCACTGTACCCCAGGCAGCCTCCAACCCCCACATCCCCCAGCAGCCCTTCTCTGTCTGTGAACAGCAGGAGACACAGCTTTCCTTGGCAGTGGGAAGAGAAGGAAACCTCCCCAAAGTGCAGCTTGGCAGCTTCAGCCTGGAGGGGAGGAGAAAGAAAAGTCCCTGCCAGGGTAGAATTTTGGTGCAGGAGGTGTCCCAGCGTGAGACTGGACCATGCCATGGCTGAGTGTGCCAGGAGCCGGCAGTCAGTGGGGCCCAGGGATGCTCCAAGGGATTTGGAGTTTTGCTTCTGACTCCTTGAGCAGCTTCTTCAACCTTCTCTCAGTGCCTGAGGGTCCTGGACTCAGCCCCAAATGCACCCTGGGGTTCATGAAAATACAGAAAGCCTCAAGGGCTCTTCCTCTTCCTTCCATTGTCTTCAAGTCCAAGGCTTGTGCAGCTGCTTGGAGTCAGTTTGGAGTTCTGTTAAGGAGGAAGATTTGAAAATCCACCATGTTTTTTTTTTCTTTTTTTAGATCAAGGGCGGATTTTTTTATTTTCTAGTTGAGAGAAGAGGTGAGAGAAGCATTCCCCAAGTGATCCTGATGCTGAATGTCTCCTTAGGAGGTCTGGTCATGGAGAAGAATGAGCCCCTTGTGAGCTGACCCTGTTTGGACAACCTGCTCCTCACCCCGAGCCTCAGCATGTCTGACATCGCCCACCTGGGACTGACATCCCAAAACATTGAAAAAATTTATCAATTTTTATTTATCATTAAAATCTAATAAAGTCATAAAAACAAAACTTTAATGTTTTTAATAATATTATTCTGTATTTTTATAACCTAATTTTTATATTTATATAAAAGAATTGATAACATTTTGAGCAACTAAAAACATTATCCGTCTTTGCTTCTAAGTACCACAATTCCCTTCATTAATTAATTGACTACTATTTCTCCCTCTTTATGCTAATTATTCCTATTTTTAGTCCTTTGATTATAATTTTTAAAATTTTCTCAGGGTAAAAGGGGCCACTTTGGGGTCCGTGGAGACTTTTCTGAGGAACATTTGGGGCACTTTTGGGTCTGGGGAGGGAATTTAGAGAGAACTTGGGGGACTGGAGGACACTTGGGGAGCCGGGTGGGCACTTGGAGGGGCACTTCAGGATTCTGTGGGACAACTCGGGGTCAGGGGGGCACTTGGAGGTCAGGGAGGAGAGTTTTGGGGCTCTTCGAGGTCCGGGCGGGCACTTGGGGGGTGTAACTGGGCTCTCTGGGGCGCGGGGGATGATGGGAGTTGTAGGCGCCGGTATAATACGGTTTAATGGGGCCGCGGAGCGTCACGGGAGTTGTAGGCGCTGCTGCAATGGGTTTCCGGTGAGACGCGGAGCATGACGGGAGATAAAGTCCCGGCTGGACTAGCGCTCTATGGGCGCCGCGGAGCATGATGGGAGCTGTAGTCCCGGAAGTGGCTCGGAAGGCGCGTTTGGCGGTGCAGGGAAGCACTTGGAGAACACTTCTGCGTCCGAGCCGTGGGATCAGGTCCTCAGGGCGAATGTATACGGCTCGGGAGCACTTGGGGGGAACCTGGGGAGCTGTAACCGGGCTCTTTAGGGCGCGGGGCACGGCAGGAGGTTTGGGCGCAGAACTGTGTTGTGGGATGATGGGAGATGAATTCCCAGCAGTGGCTGAAAGGGGCATCTGTGGGATCGGGAGCATTCAGGGATCCAGGGACGCTTTGGAGGACTCGAAGGGGCGCTGAGGGGGCACTCGGGGATCCTGAAGCGTCTGGGGGACACATGGGACATATGGGGGGTGATAACGGGTTTCTGGGGAGCGCAGTGCATATTCCCAGTCCCTCCCAGTTCCTTCCAGCATGATCCCATTTGCTCACAACCGCTCCCAGTCAGCCTCAGTGGAGTTGGACTCCCTGCCAGTATGATCGTATTCACCTCCAGCATGATCCCAGTTCATCCCAGTGTAAGTTCAGTTGCTTCCAATCAACCCCAGCATTCACGCAGTCACTCCCAGTTCCTGCCAGTTGCTCCTGGCATGACCCCAGTTGCTTACAGCTGCTCCCAGTCAGACTCAGCATGATCCTGGTAACTCCCAGTGTATCCCATTTGCCCCCAGCCTGGTCTCAATTACCCCGCACAGGCTCCTACTCACTGCCAGTATGATCGCAGTATGATTCCAGTCTCCCTCAGTGTGATCGCAGTCTCTCCTGGCATGAGACCAGTTGCTCCCAGTATGATCCCACTATGATGTCAGTCCATCCCCAGTACAATCCAAATCACTGCCAGGATGATCCCAGTACAAACCAGTCCCTGCCAGTGCTGCCACTCCTGGGATCCCCCAGCCCTCTCTGCATCCAGCATCTCCCCAGAGGAGCCCCAAGGGCTGGCAGTCCCCAGCCAGGGTCCCCAGCCAGCCCCAGGTTGGATCTGCAGCCCCCAGTTTTCCCAGTTTCCCTCTCCTTTTCCCCGGGCCGGGTTCCCCCCGTCCCCAGCGGGTGGGAGCAGCCGAGAGCCCCGCACTGCCCATCCCGACCTGTCCCGGCTCCATCCCCGCTCCTGCCGTGGGCTGTGTGGGGTTCGGGAATGGGGCACCGAGGGTGTCGCTGCTCCTGGGGGAGGAGGAGGAGGGATGGAAGAGGAGGGATGAAGAAGGAGAGGGAGAAGGGAATGGAAGTAGTAGAAGAAGGTGGTGTTAGGGAGGAGAAGAAGGAGGAAGAGGAGGGAAAGGGACGATCAGGGAAAGGAGAAGGAACCACGAGGTCGAGCACTCCCTGAATTCACGGCCCTCCACTTGTGGGATCATCATCCTCCATCCCACAGGTGACCAGGGTGGGGGAGCTTCACCCAGATATCCTGGGGTGTCGCTGGGTTGGGTTTTATGGGGGGGATGTTTGGAGAATGAAGAACTCCAAAGCTGACCGGAAAATGCCCCTTGGGGGGACATTGGGGGGTCGTGGTGGCGGCTGCTGGCAGAGGCAGCCTGGAGGGGCAGAGCCCTGTGTCCCCCAGGACCCCAAAGTGGGGAGCCCAGAGAGGGGGAGCACCTTGATTAGCAGGACCCTCAACAGCCTGGAGAGGGGCAGGGGGGTCTCCATGGACTCCCTGCACCCCAAAGCAGAGAACAAGGGGAGAAGGGACCATAGGAATCCAAAAAGCCCCATCACCCTTAAATGAGGAGATGGAAACAGGGGGAACTTTTTTGATTTCTGGGACTCCCAGCAGCCTGGGCAGGGCAGGGATTGAGTAGATTGGGGACCCCCAGTACAAGCGTGACCCCCAGCAGCTGGGACAGGGAGGTACCCCTGAACACCAAAGGGGAGAGACCAGAGATGGGGAACTCCTGGGAGGCATATTCACAACTGAATCTTGGTGTTTGGGAGCTTTCTATAGACCCGAGATGTCCGGTGACTTCTAGAGATGAACATGGGCAGAGGGACCTGCAAGCTCAATGTGCTCATCCCTTGTATTTCCCCAAACTAGGATTTCCCATTCCCAAATCTTGACTGGATGGAGAAGGAGGCTGTGAGGAAGAGGAAGATGTCCCAGGACAACCAGGCAGGTGAGGAGGAAGTCAGTGTCCCTTTCCCCCTCTCTCCTGCTCCATCTCCCAGCCCAGCCCGGCCCCCGGCTGCAGGACAACCCCGCTGCCGACGCCGTCCTGCCAGGGACGCACTGGGGGGATCTCCTTCCCCTTCCCTCTGGCACAGAGGCAAATCCCATCCTCTCCTTGTCCTTCCTCCCCCAGACAAGGAGCTGAGGATGGAGACCCGAGAGGACAAATCCCTGCAGCAGAACCTGGTGGAAGAGGCCGTTTTGTGCAGCTCCACAGTGCAGGAATCCAGCGGGGAGGAAAAGCTCCGGAGATCCCACAGGAGGAGGGGCTCCAAACCCATCCCAGGGTGCTCTGAGGAGGAAAGACCCACCCTGTGTCGGGAAGGTGGCCAGAGATCCACACGGGGCTCTGAGCTGGTGGTCCATGAGCAGCTTCAGGATGGGGAGAAGCCCTACAAGTGCTTGGAGTGTGGGAAGAGCTTCAGCCAGAGCAACAGTCTGATCCGCCACCAGATGATCCACACTGGGGAATGGCCGTATGTGTGTAGGGAGTGTGGGAAGGGCTTCAGCTTCTGCTCTGAACTCATCACCCACCAGATGATCCACACTGGGGAGAGGCCCTACGAGTGTCCTGAGTGTGGGAAGAGGTTTCAGACCAGCTCCACTCTCCTCGTGCACCAGCGGATTCACACGGATGAGAGGCCGTTCCGCTGCCCTGACTGCGGGGAGGGCTTCAAACACAACTGCACCCTCATCACCCACCGGCACATCCACACTGGGGAAAGGCCCTATGAATGTCCCCAGTGTGGGAAGAGGTTTCAGAGGAGCTCCACTCTCCTCATGCACCAGCGGATTCACACAGATGAGAGGCCCTTCCGTTGCCCCAACTGTGGGGAGGGCTTCAAGCAAAACGCCCACCTCATTACCCACCGGCGCATCCACACTGGGGAGAGGCCCTACAAGTGTGGGGAATGTGGGAAGAGCTTCAGCCGGAGCTCCAGCCTGATCATCCACCAGAGGACCCACACCAGAGATCAGCCCTGTGAGTGTGGAGAATGTGGGATGACCTTCAGATGGAGGTCCCAACTGACCATCCACCAGATGATCCACACAGGGGAGGGGCCCTACGAGTGTCCTGAGTGTGGGAAGAGGTTTCAGACCAGCTCCACTCTCCTCGTGCACCAGCGGATTCACACGGATGAGAGGCCCTTCCGCTGCCCCGACTGTGGGGAGGGCTTCAACCAAAACGCCGACCTCATCACCCACCGGCGCATCCACCCTGGGGAGAGGCCCTACAAGTGTGGGGAATGTGGGAAGAGCTTCACCCAGAGCTCTCACTTGACCAGACACCAATGGAGGCACCGGTAAGGGAAGCCCTGAGAGTGCCCCAAGTGCAGAAGAGCTTCGTGCTCTGCCCCAGCTCCATCCCCCATCAGAGGACCCACGTTCCCAGTGATCTGTGTTGGGAACACACTGGGGTGATGGTCATTTTGATTTGGCCCTGATATTCTTTTGATTCATCTTCATCCCTTTAAAACAGATAAAATTCTGTGTTTGACTCCTGAAATGGAATGACAGTGCTTTTACATGGGAAGAAAAGCAGCTAGCCACAGATTATAAAGTGGAGAGGGGAGAAAAATGCCAGCAAGACTTTTCTGCCCTGGTCTGTTTGGTGTGACAGCAATCCCTAGATGTATTCAATACTGGAACTTGTCTCCAAATGCTAGAACTAGGTTCTTCAATGTGAATGACAGTATCTATTCTTGTGAAGGGAAACATCTTGTCCGACTGATGGTGCTGCAGATGATCATCTTCCAGGTGGAGGTGAAGGCCAGCAAAACATTTTTGTCCTGAAACACTGTGACTAAGTGATTTATTTTCCAAGGAAAAGCAGTGTCATTCCCTTTCAGGAGCACATATGAGAAATTTGGAAATTACCTCTACTAATGAATACGTCCAAGGTTTGTTCCAACAGAATAGGTGCCTGGAGAGATAGGTCTTGCTTGCCTTTTCCTTCCCTGGGCAGACAGTCATCTGCAGCACTGACAGTAGGACTAGGTGTTTCTCCTCCCAGGGAAATGTGCTTTCATTCACTTTCAGAGCCCAACCTCCTTAATTTGGTGCCAAGCTCAAAATTTGGATCCATCCAAGGATTGCTCCCACACAATATGTTCCAGGACAGAAGGTCTTTACATCCCCTGGGCAGCCTCTCATCTACCCCTGAAACAGTGATTACCTGATGTTGCACTATATTAGGAACAGCAAAAGTACAGCACAGACTCTGGCTTGGTTGCACAAGACAGCAAGTTTTATTCTTCCAGATCTTTTATAGACAGTTCTGAGAAGGTCTGAAAAGGTAAAACTCTCATTGGTCATGAAACTAACACATCACCATCATTGGACAGTTAGGAACAATACCTCTTGACCGTTTCTTGCAAGTAAACAACAAGGCGACAACACCTGCCAAGGTTGTTTTCCTTCTCTAAGGCCTGTTTGAATTCCTCCGTATGATTTCTCATGCCAGAGTAAGAACCTTGTGTGACTTAGTTTCACACAGGCCCAAGCTAATCCCTGAAGCCTAAAAATCTCTTATTTGACCATTGTCAGTTCCCATACCCTGAAGCATCATGGACCCACTGAGCCAGAAAAATCTCACCCCTGTGTGACCAGTCCAGACCCACCTGAGACACTTTAACCCTGGCAGCCCGATCCCCCTGTCCATTGTTTAGCTGCTCTTCAGTGCCCAACTCTTGGGTATGTGAGCACTCACAGGAGGGATTTACACAGCCAACTTCTACACCTGGGCAGTGATGTCTTGCTCCAATCCAGCAGCCCCAATGGGTTTCCCTCTTTACTTCCAACTGTCCTTCTTCCATCATTCCAGCCACCTCCACAGAGCATTTGCCACCATCCATGAGTCAGTACAGAGGCAGAGTGTGGGCCACTTCTCTTATTCAGCCATACCCAAAGCCAGCTAGATGGCTTTAAGCTTTAAGGTCTGTAATCTGACTGGATCCACCTTGTCCTTCAGTGGCTTCCACAAATTGTCATGTAGGACTCTATACAGCAGCTTTTGATGCATTCCTACAATAAGGCAGGAATCATCACTAAAGAGAGAGTGATGCTTCTCATTTTCCGGTAGCCAGAGCCTCCTTAGCAAGTGCCACCTTCACCTCCTCCTCTTCTGATGATAATCTGAAATTTTTGCCTCTGGGACAGCTTGTAATGACTTCCAAAGGGATGTTCCCTTTGAACGTCCAGCCCAGCACTGGCAGTTGGGTGCCAGTGGAAGCTATGTTTTGGTGCCAATCACTTCTAAAACAGATGGAACCTCCTCATAAGCCACCAGTATTTGTAGTGTGGTGTAGGACTATAGCTGGTCTCTGATCCTTTGTATCCCAGACTCAAGAACCATAGGGTGGTCCTTTAACTTCCCCAGGTCCCTTCTGACAGAGGCTCCAGAATGGACCATTCTCCCTGGCTGCAGCGTGGAGCACATTTTCCACGTCTTGTCCTTTTCCTGATTGGTTCAACAGATACTGTAGGAACAATCTCCTCTTCAATTTGTTCAAAAGCTTGTTGCTGTTAAGGACCCCACTTGAAATCAATCTTCTTCCATGTCACATAATAGAGAGGGTTTACAATCTGACTGTAACTTCTCCAAAATACCACAGTGCCAGGAAAGCCTGTGTTTCCTTCCTGTTGGTCAGTGGGAATATGGCTGCTATTTTGTTGACCACAACCACTGGAATCTGACAGCATCCATCTTGCTATTTTACTTCTAAAAACTTAACCTCCTCCAAGGCAGGTCCCTTGATTTTACTGTTTTATGGCAAAACCAGCCTTCAGGAGGATCTGGATATCTTATCTCCTTTCTCAAAAGCTTCCTCTGCTGTGGCATCACTCATACTGAAGTTCCAACATGTCCAGCATGGCAGCACTCAGTGATGGTACGAGTTCATCTAGGCCATGACAGTCCACTGTCAGTGTCCACTCTCCCCAGGACTCAGGCAGAGGCCATGCGAGGCTACTGAAGGGTGAGTGAGTCTTGCTGAGCACACCCAGCTCTCCAGTCCATGGATCAGCTCATGGATGGGGTCCTGAATTCCCGGTCGATGCCATGTTGCCAACAGGACACTTGTGCTGGCCATCAGTACCTGCTGTTCTTCAACCCTCAACAGTCCCACAGCAGAAGGGTCCTCTGAAAGACCAAGGGACTCAAGCAAGGGACTCAACTATCTTAATTTCTGCTGTCTCCACAGCAGCTCTCACAAAGCCCAATGATGTCCTTTTGGGTCCTTGAAATACCTCTCCTGAGGTGATCTATGCCAAGGATAACCTAGGAGCCTCTAGGCCAGCGACAATGGAGTTTTTCTGCCACTCATGCCCAATCAGGAGCACTTCAGCTTCCAGTACAGCCCCTGTTGGTATCCCCCTGTCATCCCAGAAACAGAGTTGGATTCTGCATGATGGTGATAGTAAAAGGTTTTAAAATCATAGAAAATTTGGGGACTCAGAAAGAAAGTTAGGCTTAGCAAGCCCTGGGAAAAGTAGGTCCTGGGAAATGTTAGACCTTGTGCTTGCTAAAGGTCATGTGAAACTGCACCTGTGTAATCAATATATGATAAATGATAGAATTGTTAGATGTGATTAGATATAATTATTGTTTAAAGAACATGAGAAACAACGTTAGGGGGTTGAGAGGGGATCACGAAAAATCCATGCTTGGGTAAAAACAATGCATACAATAGAACAATCTAAGTTTAATAATTAATATGTAAGTTATATAATGATAGTGTATAAAAACATGTTCAACTCAAAACCAAGATGGGTCAGATTTGGGTATGTGTACCCCTGACACCCAGAGCTCTTAATAAAGCACCTGCATATAATCATTCCTGATTATGAATGTTCCTGAATGCTAACAATGGCATCAGGATACACTGTGCACCCGTGTCAACTAAAGCCTTGTGCATCCTGTGGCTCTGCTGTGCCAGGCCATGGATCCATACAGTCCAATAGACCACACTGTTCTTTTCCCACACCTGCCTGGAGCCAGGGGCTCTCTAGCTGTGATCACAGTACTCATTGCTCGCTTCTTGTAAATATGACCTGGAGGTTCCTTTCAGAGGGTCAGAAGTAACATCAGCCTTTCAATTCTGCCTGAGGACTTGTCCAGTGGAAACTGAGTGGCATTTTATCTTGAGTTTTCTGCCTTGGAGACCCTTGTGAGACCCCCGTGAGAGACCCTTGTGTGAGAGACCTCAGGTGCCCTCCAGCTACCCCGCAGGGGCATAAGCCGGAGGAAGGGCTCACCAGAGGGCATAAGCCCCCAGGAAGGGCAGGTGGAAGTAGTGGTACTCAAGGACAATGGTGACAGTGACAGTAATAGCATTGCAGAACTGACAGTAAAAGGTTTTAAAATCTTGGAAAATTCGGGGACTCAGAAAGAAAGTTAGGTTTGCCAAGCCCAGGAAAAGTAGGCCCTAGGAAATGTTAGACCTTGTACTTGCTAAAGATCAGGTCAAACTGTACCTGTGTAATCAATATATGATAAATGATACAATTGTTAGATGTGATTAGATATAATTATTGTTTAAAGAACATGAGGAACAATGTTAGAGGGTTGAGAGGGGATCACGAGAAATTCATGCTTGGGTAAAAACAATGCATACAATAGAACAATGTAAGTTTAATAATTAATATGTAAGTTATATAATGATAGTGTATAAAAACACGTTCAACTCAAAATCAAGATGGGTCAGATTTGGGTATGTGTACCCCTGACACCCAGAGCTCTTAATAAAGCACCTGCATATAATCATTCCTGATTATGAGTGTTCCTGAACGCTAACAGAACCAGCCAAAAACCCTGAACTGCAACACAATGAGCCCGTACCCTGCAGGTGACTTGTAGGGGTACACCATGTGAACCAGGGTCAAAAAACTGCCTCTCCCCCAAAGATAAACTTCACAAAGCCAAACACCATCTAAATACCTCATAACCCTCAAAATGGCACCACTATTCTCCAAATACAGCTGGAGACAGGGGTCTCACCTGAACCTCAAAATTATAAAACACCTGTTGGGGGTCAAAGAACTGAAGAATAAGTACCTCCCTTCAGTGTGGGATGCTCCTGCGTCCCAAAATACTGCCCAAATACCCACATACACTCCCCAAACTACCCAAATACAGGTGGGTGTGGGGGTCTCACATGAGACTTGTAGATGAGCAGGGTGATGTGGGTGATGCTGTACATGCTCATGTACACAGAGCTGGATAGAGCTCCCCAGTCTGATCTGGCCCCTGAGAGTCCAAACCTTAAGGGTGCCCCATAGAGACCCCCAAGCATACCTCACAGACGCCCTCCAAACACTGTGTAGGGACCCCTGACTGCCCCATAGTGACCCACAGCTACCCCCGTGCCACCCAGCCACCTCCCTATACCCCCCGTGGTACCTGTGATGGAAAAGCACTTGCCCAGCAGGATGAGCATGAGAAGGAAAATGAGCAAGCTGACGGAGGGGGAGCAGCTGGCATGGGGACATGGGGAGGGCTGGGCACCCCCCTTCATCACACCTCCCTTCATCACCCTTATACCTCCTGTACTCTCCCAAGCCCCTCATCACCTCCCATGATTTCAAAGTGCCCCTGTGCCCCCCCATAACCCCTATACTTCCCCAAACCCACCCAGAACCCCCAGCCTCACCAAATCTCAATATGCCCCTCAGACCTCGACACCTCCCAGTCTCTGAAGATCCCCCCAATCCCAGTATAACTTCCACAGACGCCAATGCTCTCCAGTGTCTGCAGACGTCCCCGGCCCTCACAAATCTGCCCATAGTCCCCCCAAGCTCCCCCTTCACACTCCATGCTGGCAGCCACCATGAGCATCTTGTAGGTGGTGTGGAGCAGCTGCCATCCCTAGACCAGGTCTGGGGGGACTGGGGGGTGAGCCCAGGATCTCTCAAAGCACCACCTCCCCCCAGGCCCTCTCAAAGCTCAGATTTCCCCCCAGCCACTCACTGATGAATAGTGAGAAGATGACAATGAAGATGAGGAGGAAGGTGATGTCTGTCTCCAGGATGCCTGGGGAACGTGGGGGAGTGGGCTGAGAGGAGGTTCACCCCATGAAGACCCAATAACCACCAGTGTCCACAGATGCCCCCTGCATTGCAGACCCACCATCAATCCCCATGTACCCCAACCCTTTCGGCTTCCTCAGGCCTCAATAACCTCCAATATGTCTTCCAATACTGATGCACCCCAATCCTTCCAACCCCTCAACCCCCAAAAAAGTCCTCCAGACCCCCATATACGTCCCCAATTCAATGCACCCCCAATCCCTGCAGCCCCTCCAGACCACCATAACTCCCAATATACC